TGGCAAGCGTCCGAGTGATGTAGAACCCCCTCCCATGACCGTAGCCGGCGTTGCTAAGTCCGTGTACAGAGAAGGATGGGAACAGGCCATGAGGGAAGAGTTTGAAGGGCACTTGGGCACGGGGACGTTTTCATTCGTAGACGGCGCGCCAGAGGGGCGCAGGCCTGTGAGCTCAAAGTGGTGTGTTAGTTGGAAGACCAACAAGGTAGGGAAGATAGAAAAGTTCAAAGCGCGTCTGGTGGCTAGGGGTTTTTCGCAAATCCCGAACGTCGATTATTTCCATTCGTCTTCCCCTTGCCCATCATCCTTATCCATTAAACTTATGCTTGCGGTAGCGAACGAGAAGGGCATGAACCTCAATCACTGGGATGTGAAGCAGGCGTAGACACACGCCACGCTAGACGAGGAGGTTTTTCTGAGGCTCCCCGCTGGGTGCGGGGACAAATCGCATAATATTGTCAAGGCTGAGCGTGCGATTTACGGTCTGAAGCAGAGCGGTAGGCAGTGGGGGTACCACGCTGCTGATACGCTAGTCGAGAACGGGTTCGAGCGGTGCAATGCGGACCCGTGTGTTTTCCGCATGATGGTAGACGAAGTCGTGGTGATGATTATCGTGATCAACGTGGATGACTTTTTGGTGGCTGGGTCTGACGAGGATTGCGAGGAGTTGCTTGCTTCTCTCAACAAGAAATTTCCCACCAAAAATCTTGGAGAATGCGAATGGTTTGACGGGTACGCCATTGAGAGAGATGTAGAGACTGGGACTCTTAAAATCTCCCAAACCGCGTAAATTGATAGCATGGTGAAACGCTTTGATGTACAATCGATGTCCCGCATCCCTGCTTCCCCTGGTGTTGACCTAGGACCGAAGCGAGATGACGAGAAGGGAGGGAAGTGGCCGGTGAGGGAGGCCATCGGCAGCATAATGTGGGTGTCGACGTTCTCGCGTCCATTCGTCTCGTTCGCCGTACGTGCGGTAGCGCGCCACGCCCACGCTCCGACGAAGAGGCACTGGGATGCCATCCAGAAGATCCTCGGCTACTTGAAAGGGACGAGGCACCTCGGCATCACCTACCAACGGGGATCGGGGTTAGGGC